GAGTTCTTTTTCTAATAACTCTTAATATCAAATTGAGTAAATCCAAATATTTTAAACACTACATAATGAAAAAAGCAAAACATTAGACTAAAAATGTTAGTATGTTTTGAGTATCAGCCAAAATTCAGTGTAGTAATAATTGAGAAATGGCTTAGTACAGCTGTTGAGTGACTTCTCGTGAAGTGAGCAGCCATCTCTTGAGTCCATGAAGAGAAGAAGCACAGGAGAGGCTAGAGACCATCCGCTCCAGCCTGTCTTGGTGAAGCAGCATGTGTTTGGGATGCCTTTCAGGTGGGGGTGACACAAAGCAATGGAATCAGTGAAAAGCTGCTGTACCCTGGCTTCTTAGAGATGCCTTATCTGTGGAGCTTCCTACCCTATGGGCTGGCAGTCCACCCAGGAGGCCTCGCTTCTCCAGTTTACTGCTTATATAATAACCTTGGAGAGGAGCCTTGTGACTCATGTAACTTCGGTGAGGTTCCTGGCTCCTATTTCATCGATTCTTAGGAGTCTCCCTCCTTCCTCCAGAAGGGAAGGTTCCAATTCAGAGGATAAATGCTATGCCATAGTACAAAATGTAGTGGCTGTAGTGCCAGCCTGTGCCTCTGACTCCCGGGAAGCCACTGCACTTCTGGGCCTTGTTTGTATATGTGAACAGAGTGTTGGGCTAGATGGGAAGATTCAAGTTCCCTTTACTGTTAATTCTCTGATTCTGTTTACTCTAACATGATGTCAGAAAATTCCCTCTATATTTACTTGGAGGACATAAGTGTTCACAAGAGTTGATAGAGCAGTTCAGTGAATACACAAGGACCCATCAGGCAATCCCTCAACTCAACTGCTTTGTGACCAGTCATGCTCCTCTGCACTTTAGCCTACTAATTCCTCGAAGCATTTTAAACAAGTCCTAGACACTGGGTTCTCGTTAATCCCGTGACTTGTCTGCCGTCTATGTGGCTAGCACCTTCGAGTCCTGGAAGTCCTCAGAAAGACTGTGCATTTCCTCAGTTTCTCTCATGGTAATTTCATGCAAAACTGTGGTGAACTATGACAACTGGAATGTTGACACTGACACAATAGACCGAGCTTACTCAAATGCCCAGCTTCACTTGACTGTGTGTGTGTGTGTGTGTGTGTGTGTGTGTGTGTGGTGGGGGGTGTAGTCTATGAAATGTTCTCATTTGTATGAGGGTGTGTCTCTATGACCAGACACTGTAGCTGCCAGTGAGAACAGTGATTGACTTGAGACTTTTACTTGGCTCTTCATAAAGCCTATTTGTCCCTTTTCCCTTATTTCTTGAGCTTCATAACTGTTCCAGAGAACCATGATTGTAAATGTCGTGTGTCTACCCCAACACATTCCTGAGTTCTTGATTGGAGTGAGGCTGAAGGGCATTCTTTCAAAACTCTTATCTGGTAAGGCTGTGTCCCAGATAATCTGTTTCTTTAGCTTTCTGTAGAAATTAAAGACCCATTTTCTTAGATTTAGTATGTATCTTAAGAATTTCAAAATGATGGAGCCAGGGAGATGGCTAAGTGAGCACAAACTCTTACTCTCTAAGTATAAGGGTCTGACCTGAACCCCATAATACACACGAAATGCCAGGCCTGAGGGCACCTATAACCTTAGCATTTGTGGGGAGATACAAGCACGTCCCAGAATTCACTGACAACTCTGGTTTAGTAAGAGACCCTGTCTCAAGTCAATAGGGTGGAGAGCAGTAGAGGAAGACACTTGTCCTGCACTTACTTCTACCCATGTGCATGTGAGCACATGCACACACCATACACACACACACACACACACACACACACACACACACACACACACACTCTCTCTCTCTCTCTTTCTCTCTCAACAGTGATGGTCTAAGATGAAAAGTAACTCAAGATTATAAACATATACATACCTTCCACACCTTTGAATTATGGTCATAGAAATATTTCAAATACAAGAGGAAAAGAAGCGCTAAGGGACATCTGGGGAACTGGTCACACGGCACATGCTTGGGGTCTTCCCTTTTAGGAAGCTGAGACGATGAGATCATGAGTTGGAGTCTGTCCTGGGCTGTGTTGCCAGCCTCTGTCTCAAGTGTCTGAGAATATAGGCGAAATGAAAATTTAGATAGATTAATGATCTAAATGTTAATTTAACAACTTTTTTCTTTATAAAAAATTAATGGATTTGTGATTATTTAAGATAAGTTGGGTTTTGCAAGAGGCTTTCTACTGAAGGCATGGGAGTCAGAAGCTGCAAACAGAAAATGTGCAGGTTTGACTATATATATAAATATTAAAAAAAACCTTTGTAATAAAGGTTCAATAAATTGTTTGCAAGAAAACGGAGTAAAAACATACATGTGTATATGTGTTACACATATTCTTTTGCAAGTTAATTTTTCTAGGATGTAGACATATATTTATCTCTAATAAGTTATTATTTCTAATATGCAAAGAGTTGATGTAATTCCACAAGAAAATGCAAACTAATCATCAAACACTTCACAGAAGAATGCACATTACCAACCACGTACAAGTAAACATTTGCCTTAAGTGAGACACAGGAAACCTGAAATTGAAACAAAAATTGGAATTTAAAAATTCATCAAATGGACAGAGTGAAAACCAGTACTCAGTATTAATTAGATATGGAAGAGGGGCCTGAGAAGTTTCCATAACCCAATATTGGACTTCTACACCAATGCAATAAATGAGATCAGGCTGAATTAAAGTCCAGGTTTAATCTGAGCAAAGCAAAGAAACTCCAAGGTGACTCTCGGGAAGGCAGGAGAGGAATCACGTGGCAGGTCTGGCAGCCAGGTCTTAAATGCCCTGTAGTTGTGGTCTTGAGCAGCCCTGGGGAGGAGCTGAACCTTGGTGGGCTTTCTGAGGGTGGGGTTTGGAGAGGGCGGCTCCAGGGGAGATCCCAACAGGGGCCTCATAGAAGGCTTTACCACAAGGCATGCCACAGCCCAAAGGCAGCAGAGCCACACAACTGTGGACTGAGACCAGGAGCCAAATGACTCCTTCCTCTTTGTAGGTTGATTTCCTCAGCTCCTTTGTCTTGTTGGAAAGCTGACTAGTACACCTAGTCACTGAAAAAAATTGAAAAGCATTACACTGTACAAATACATAAGCAGTGAGAGTCCCAACATTCAGCTCTTCTCTACTTCAGATTTGTACCATTTTAAACAAGTTTTCCTTTTTCCAGATTTTTTAGCGTGCGCGCACACACACACACACACACACACACACACACACACACACACACACGTACCTCTTCTCTACCCCCTACCTCCTCCCCATTGAACCATATGGTCCTAGAGATGTTCATATTCAGAGTTCGCCATTCTCTGTTCTATCATTGTAGACTTAATGTCTTCCCTATATGCCGTGGCAGAACTATGTCATAGCTGGCGTTTCCAAAAAACATTTCTTTATTGCTAAATATTTTAGGTTGATTATGTAATATTCTTCTACTAAATTAAGCTGCAATGATTATCCTAGCTCCTGTGTCCTCGTACTCTGGTTTTTCTGTGGTACAGATTTCCAACAGTGAAACCACTGTATCAAAGAGTAGGTATGTTTTTAAATTTAAGATACGCTGACAAACTGCCCTCAGCAAAAAGCTGTATCAAGTTATATCACCAGCAAACATGGCTGAAAATATACGTCTTTTAAAGATTCTACCTCCAAATAGTACCATGGGTGACAACCAGGCCTTTAATACATGGCCCTATGTGGACATTTAAGATACAACCCAAAACAACAAGTTATAATTCTTTTATTATGTTGAGAAACAAAAGAAAGTATAAATGTGAAATAAGCCAGTTGTGGACAAAGAGAAAGAATTTGGTTAAAAATTTATTGCAATAGATCTTGACGCTCATGGCTAAAATTAAATAAACAGAAAAAAAAAAACCTCTGTGAGTGGGAAATCAGTAAAGGAGATAGAGATCTGGAAAGCGTGCCCGCTTCCTTTATCTCCACGGGCAACCTTATTCCATATTGATAAAGTGTGCAATCTCCTCTTTGGTTCTTTCTGGTTGTTCATTGTTGCTGTTCCTGTCTTAAGAGAAGTTGAAATGAGTCAAACCCACTTGCTCCATTCTTTCTACTAATTTAATTGCAAAGGAGAAATCTTCAGCCCAAATAAATAAGTGCACATGGATGCACCCAGAAACTCTGATGATTCAACATGTCCAGTCAACTGCTTCTACATGTTAAGATACGTCCTTAAGAAATGTCCGTGCATGATAAAAAAAAGAGACAGCAGCCAATGGAGCTCAATTCACTGAGAAGTGGAATGACTCTCACACATCTGCTTACAAAGCCTGGTGTAACTTCCTGTCCCTGTGTGCCAGCGGCTGGGCCCTAAATCAAGATGTATAGTGAGCACTAGCAAAGGTACACACAATAGTGAAGAAAGCAGAATCATTCGGGGTTTGAAATGCACCTAACCAACTCAGACTCTTGCAAAATAACTTTATTATTCAGAATGGAGCTGGGGATTGTTCAGCACACAATGAGTCATCTTTGGGCAAGTACAACAGAACCTGCTGGGGCATTTCCTGCCTCAGTTCGGTTGTCAGGGTGGTTTTAGCTCTCACAGGTAAAGAATAAAGTAGCTGGTGTAGCCACCATCTTGTTGCTGAAATCACACGGTGAAAACTTCGGAATTACTGCTGCAGTAATTTTTTGTGCTGCCCCTAACCCCCACCCCAACTCCCCACCCCCCATCTCGTTTCTCTGCCCAGAGTTGCCCTGTTTCCCCAGAACAATCTGGATTTACTTAATGCTAATGTTTTCTGGTTTTACTGTTTACCTAGGACTCAAATGTTAAGTATTAGTGTGGGTAACTCCCGTTTTTTGCCTCATAGCCTGGTGTTTACTTAACTGTTATTTTGCAAGAAGAGAATTTTTCCCTCCCCATGTTTGCCCTTGTTTTTTTAAAATCAACAAACACAGTTTGACTTTGTCTCTGCTTTCTTTTCTTTCAGGAGAATTTAGAGCTCCCGGTGGATGATTCTGAAGTGACGGAGTCCACAGCAGCATCCGAAGCGATTAAATACGAGTATCATGTCTTATATTCCTGCAGCTACCAAGTGCCCGTTCTTTACTTTAGGGCAAGCTTTTTAGGTAAGACCATGTCTAAAGCTGAAAGCAAGTTCATAACATTTACATATAAGGCAGGAAACATACTTGGAAAATCATTTTTGAAAGGAAAAAAAATAGAGTTAAAAATAAAAAAAAAAAAAAAAAAAAAAAAAAAGCTGTGGGTGAGGTAAGGTTTTACCAGTAAACTTTCTCATACTTCAGAAGGAAAATCAAGACTTCCTATTGAATGACATCATCCCCACCTTAAATCTGATCTTCATGGTTTTTGGCCTCTTGCCTGAGTTGACTAAGCCCCCTGGCCCTTCTTGACTTTAAACAAGTAGCAACAACTTAAAGCTGCAATGTTTATTTACTTGTGACTTTGCAGTAAAAATTTTGTTCTATCTCAAGTGTTGCCGTTAACTCCAAAGCTCCTAGACTTCCTTCACCAAGAACTCAAGACTGCCGAGAGATGTTTATTAGTTAGCCGAAGGTGTACTTAGCGCTTCCTTTAGCCGTCTGTATATCTCAAATGCCTTAGTGACTCACAATGCTGTTACTTAACTCATTCTCCTGCCAAGAAGGCGAACACCCCCCCTCCTCGGAGGCCCTGCTAACAGAGCTTATTTAGTGGCAGCCACACGGTGTCCTGGCCTTGCAGTTCAGGGGACTTGTGAATATGCACTGGCCGAACTGGGTCAGCCTCAGCAGGCCTTGTCCTGGCTTCCAGACTGTTCAGAGCTCCTGCCCAGCCCACCTCCTAGCCCATGCCTCCTTTTTGTACATGGCTTTCTCAGCCATGCTTTGTATTTGGAGGAGACTTCTGGATAGCTAAGATGTCTGAATTTAGCCAGTGATATTTTATTTTTAATTAAAAAGTAGCTTAAGCTGCTTTCGATGTGTGTTTCGTGGGTTTAATCACTCGCTGTCTTATATTGTTTCATGGTCTCTAGTTCTGCAGTGCTGGCTGTTTAACAAGCACTTAGGATTTAAAACAAGAGCAAATTCCTCCAGACTCCCTGGTGAGAAGATTTTAATCTGAGGTGCAGTTCCTGAGAACTAACAATTTGGGGTAAATTTTCAACCTGGGACCTGAGGACTGAGGACACTGATGGTTTCCTAACTCTCAAACCCTTGCAGCAGATTCGTCTGTATGATTATTACTAACCTTTAAAACACTCGCCTTCTTGTGATTCTATTTGGAGTCCAGAGGTTAAAGAGGACTCCTTGTCTGTACGCTGTGCTCTATACTAAAAGGTGGCGGATATATTTGTTATGTGGGGTGGAGGTGTGGGGAATGCCTTGCCTGGCCCTAGTTTGCAGTGGTTGCTCTACCTAGCACCTTCTAGATTCAAAGGCAAGTCGGGGCTACAGGTAGAGGACCCAGGAGGTGGTTCTGGTTCATCAGTCCTGTTCTCTCATGTAATCAGTATTCACTGTAAGCAGTTAATCACCAGAGACGAGTTCCCAGAGACAAACAAGTCGTTTGGCTTGTCAGCATCAGGGATGTGAGGTGTTGAAACATGGCTGCTTCTAGTTGGAAGTGGGTCTTGCTGAGGCTGGCGGATGAGCTCACACAGGCGCTGTCCTCTGCGCGTGCCAACAGCTCCCCTTACAGCACAGCTCAATGATTGTTCCTGCAAGTCCAATTATATTTTAATGACATTAGTGTGCTGCCTGCATGCCTTTCTGCCTGATGATCTTAGTCCTTAAAACACACATACACAAGTAGCATTCTTGGTTCTATTTATAGAATTTTAAGATGGCCTTCATTTGTGGCTTATAAAGAAAACCAAAGAGGTCATTTATTTTATGTGGAAATGTTTTCCCTGCCTCTCATTCTGTCTTGTATAGGATTGGGGTTTTTTTAGTTCTTTTTATTCCAGAATTCATTTAGTATTTGTTTAAACACATTAAAATATGAATTTATTTTTTATAAAGCATATTGAAATGTTTTCTTGTAGAGAAAAATGAAAAATGCTTCTTTCCTTTATCAATCTTATACTTTGAAATTTTTGTTTTTACCTAACTTAAACTCAGAGGCATTCTAAAAATGTGTCATTCTTCACTCATGAGTCATAATTTTTCATTTATTCCCCCAGACCAGTCCTTTACATATCCTGTTAGCCTGGCTGTTTGTGTGTTAACAACCTCTGGTGGTGTGGAGAAGTATTCCTAATGTCTTCCTAGTTCCAGGTCCAGGTTTTTCTTTGTCTCCTTCTAGAGAATCCGACCTAGAAACAGGATGATTGTAAAACTTCTTGCCCAAGGGCCTTTTCTTTTCTTTCTTTTTTTAAGTTGTTGTTGCAGAAATAGTTCATTTGTCTTGTCTGTGACAGAAGTTAGTGTCTTTTGTGTCTGTTAGTCAAAATCAATTTCTCTGCTTAACTTTGAATTTTCTTTCTGTATCTTTAGTTTGTTTGTTTATTTGTTTGTTTAATTTGGAAAAGCAAAGGAAGGAGTTGGAAATTCCCATAATAGAAATTTATGTTGCCCCTTTTATCCACTGGTTTAGCTTTTTGTCTGGACCTGTTCTGCTTCTTGAAATGCAAATCCACTGCCCCCCCCCCCCCCCCCCCCCCCGGGTTCCTTTTCTTCCCCTGTATGATGCAGTGTCTGCCAGACCAGCTGCTGCCAGATACTCAGCTAGCCTGTGACTGTCCTTGTCATTCCCATGTCATCCCATCACAACATCAAGAGTCAGAGTCCAGAAGGATCTTAATGTTGATGACTTACAAAGTGAGAAGCACTGTTTTGGGGTCTGTGCATGGTCCTTACATGGCATTCTAACACACAGATACCCCACTCATCTTGCTAATTTTGTTACTCACAAGGTCAACTGTAGAGGAGCATCAACAAATGCTTGTCAGATGAATCAATAGTGAAGAATCTCTAAGCATTTCTAATTATAGCCAAAGACTAAAATATTGTGATCGTAGTGCTATTCTACTGCTGTGACAGGTCGTAAGGAAGAAGGGATGCTGTCTTCTCCAGGAGGCCTAGGGTCCAAACCATTTATCCATCATTACAGTTTAATCTGTCAATCCTTAAAGACTCTAGAAATAGTAGACTAAGAAAAGTGCAGCATCCCGAGGACCCAAAGCATAAATCCAGCCTGGCTGAGCAGCTGTGCTTTCTCTGTAAACACGTATCTTTATTTGATTCTTGAAGGCAGACAGCCAAGTTCAGATACCATTTGACTTCTAGATGCCTCAGGCCCATAGGAACATGGTTCCTCCTCCTCCTCTTTTATTTTCTCGTCTACTACTACTATGACTACTACTATTATTACTACTATTGAAACAGGGTCTCACTCAGTAGTCTGGGCTGTCCCCAAACTCACAATCCCCCTGTCTCAGCCTCCCAAAAGCTTGCTTATGGGTGAGCACCAACATGCCTGCCCAGGAGCTTGGTTCCAAAGGGATCACATGGACTGAAGAGAAAGTGAGTCCTTCTGGGTGTTCTGCTTCTCTAACTGCTTTTGTCCTTGTAGGTTTGGGCGGGGCAAAGTTAGCACTCTTTGTCCTGCAGTCTTTGAGAGGCTGCAGACACAAAACATGAGCAGTCTGGTCTCAGGTCGTGCCTTGTGCTCCATGAGCCCAGCCCCACAGAGCCCCAGCCTTGTCACATATATTCTGGTGCCTTGCACTTTTTCTGCCTTTCCCACGTGTGGTGCTGGACATTGACCAAAGGCCGCATGCGCCACTGGGGGCTCTCCCACTTAGCCCTGCCCAAGGTTTTAAGTACTCTGCATCTGGGTTGTTTGCACCGTGACAAAGCCGCCTTTTCTCATCATCTCTATTGTCCACGGACTTTTTATGTCCCATTTTTCCTTGATGGACTTGGCTGGTAGCAAATGGCAAGTGTTGGAAATGTGGCTTAAAGAGTCTATTTATATCAAATGGCCTTGATCTCACCAGAGTCATGGTTTAAACATTCCTCCTGACATCTTAACTAGAGATTTTTATATTTATTCTGGATTGGATTCTGACTGATTTATTCCATTTCCCTTTTTTTCTTTTCTCTTTGTTCTTAATCTTTATTGAGAATGGACCAAGTGGTTCTTCTCATTTTCAAATATTTAATTCTTTGGTTGACATATGTGTTCTTTTGGGGAGCTGTTTTGACATAGTTCCTTAATTAGTCAAAAGGCTGCTTTAGAATAGAGAAGGAAACATTTCTCCCATTCAGCAACTGAAGTCTGTCTCATTGGCCCTGAGAGCAAGGATATAGAATTTAAAATGCACTCCAGATACTTCATGTGGAAGATTTGTTCAGTTGTTATGGGCTTGAAAGATGCTCCCAGAGAAGGGAAATGAAAGAAACAGTCCAACAACAATTCTCCCTCCAGGGGAGGATAAAACAAAGCAAGAAAAGGTTAAGATAAGGAAGAGTGAAATCTGGAGTTCCAGTGCCTATGTTGTCGAGGGGAAGGAAGGTAGGAGAACGTTGTTCAGGAGTCAGAGCTTGAGGAAATGCAAGAGGAGACTTAAAGGACCAAGAAAGATGTGAGTTGGAGGGAACTGAAAACTGGAGGCCAAGGATTCATAGCTCTGTCCAAGGACATCTAAAGGACAGTGCCATGGGTGGGGCATGCCCAGCTTTGGGGATGGAGTGAGCAAGGCATGCCTGGGCATCAGTGCAAAGCAGTGTGGTTTAGGGGTGTCCTCTTCAGACAAGCATGGAAGAAATGGTTGAAAAGATAAATGGGGGTCAAATTATGGATGAGCTTGTGGATAGGAGGGGGTTGAGACCTACAGAATGAGGAAGAAGGGGAGCTAGACTGCATTTCCCGGAGATCAGAAGACACGTGAATAGATGAAGGGTGAGGGGGAAACGGAGGGAAGGAATGGGATACTCTTTGTTGTTATCAGCATTATTACAATTTTAAAGTAGTGAGCTCTTAGAAAAGATGAGCTGGAAAGAACATACTCTGTATTTCCAGGGTAAAATTACTGCAGCCGAGTGGGGGTTAAGGTAGCTTATTTAGTAGAAAGAAAAAAGTGGATAAGGCTGAAGCAAAAATGATTGAAGTAATTATT